GTGTCATTAGGATTGCAAATGTTAGTCTATCCTGTATATTAATTATTGAGAATGAAAGTCCTGGAAGAAGCTCGCTAAAAGATGACTAAGCAGGATTGTTTCTTGTTAGTTGTTCATACAATTGAGAATATTGTTGGGCCGTCTGCGTTGTACCTCAAATTTGGAAGAACTGTGCTCTTCAGATTTTAAGCTATTGTGGAGTCCGAAGATATGAAGAAGAAGTCAGTTGTTAATCTTGATAAGATTGCAAAGAGTACTGCCATTCTAGCATCTAATACAAGTTCCATCTCCATTACTAGGCTAGCTTCTGCAACTAGTAGGCCGCAACAGGTAATGCTCAGTTTGTTTCTCTAGTTCTGGTCTGAAGCTATGCTGAAAGTACATGATACAATTAAGAATTAACAATCACTTTCAATTTCATAAATGATATAGTTGACTTTCTTTTTTAATCTGTATACAAAGTTTTAGGTATCTGCAGGCTTATGATTAAGTTCAAGAGACTTTTTGTTCGGTAACAGGTATGCACTTTATGAATCCTCCTCCAATAATAAACGAGCTGGTAATGAGTGGGTTAGCGGGTTGGGAAAAAAATTGTCAAGTCTAAAGTTGGTTGAGATAGTGCGAGGTGCAGACACATCAGACAATACATTTTATGCTACAAAAGCCTTGGCGGAGAGGTAATTTCTTAAATGCCTCTTTGTAAAAGTGCTAATGGGTCTTATCTAAATACAGTGGAAAACAGAGAAAACAAGAAAGAACTGATAATTGTTTTGGACTTGATTACAGGCAACTGACTGGAGGTTTAAATTTTGAACAGAAAAATGTTGTGACAGTAATATGGAAATAATTTGTAATGCATAATGAGATTGAATTTTCCCCTTATACTTCTTAGTTCTTACTGTCTATGGTCTCTATTTCATACACTTGATCCCCTTGACAAATTTCTTTGTTCAACTTTTTAATCATTCATATACCCCATATTCGCTATGTTTCTTATTAGCTTTAAAAGGGCCCGAGAAAAAGGATTCTTGTAACTGACCCTGACAACAGTTGAGCTGAATTGAGTTGAGTTTCCTGTTTTCAGATTAGCTGCTACTTTTAGGATTCATATTGGTGACATTTTGATCATGACTGTTAAATTTGCAAGTTTGGGAAGATAGTAATATGCTCTCAGGATTTTTCTGGTTTTGTCGTGATTCGGATCCTGATGCCAATGGTAAATGAAGCCTTTCATGCACTTTATACTGGGGTAGCAACAAAGGAAGATATTGAAACAGGAATGAAGTTGGGGACAAACCATCCAATGGGTCCTTTGGAGCTTGCAGACTTCATTGGATTGGATGTGTGTCTGTCAATAATGAGAGTTCTACATGCAGGCCTTGGGGACGGTAAATATTCCCCATGCCCCCTGCTTGTGCAGTATGTTGATGCAGGTCGCCTTGGAAAAAAACGTGGCATCGGGGTATATGACTACCGCAAGATGCCTGAATCTTTAAAACCATCCTCCCGGCTTTGAATTTTACTGCCTCTCTATGTATTGCCAAATTGCTTAAAGTCATGATGTCTTCGTGTAGTCGTAAACGTATATATATTAATAAAATTGGGTCACATAAGCTGGAAGACTATCCTTATGCTTTCAGCTGGAAAATTGTATTTCAATATTTAAGGCTTCTTGCTTAGCTATTCCTAGCTTAACTTACTTTTATAGTCTGACTAAAGGAATAGTGATTGCTATCAACCAAACATGATCTGAGGATTAATCTATGGGAATCCTAGAAGTGCGAACCTCTTTCTGGACATTCTTTAAGAACTTTATTTAATGTAGTTTCTTAATTGATCGTTCTTGATGATCATGATTCTTAGGATGGACTGACATTTAATTGTCTCCAAAAAGTGAGAATAAATGAGAAAAGTAATGGTATAATGTCTGTTTTTAGTTGTTTCAACTTCAACAATCTAATCATGAAAATAGTTCTGCATGATCCATATTCAATGATGTTTAATTAGCCCATATTGATTTTCTACTCACATGCAAAGGTTTTGAGAATCTACCTGTCCAGTATTGCTTGCCAGCTTAAGAATCATTTTAATGAAGCAAGGAAATCAGAAGGAGCACTTCCTTTCTAGCCGATTTGTGGTAAAGTTGACCCACAAGAAGAACCTATTGAGAATTTGAGAGAAATTAGCTTTATCTTTTTGCCTATGGATCGCCCCACCAGGAGCCACATTGGCATTATTATTTGGCAGCATCTTCTCTATGGAAAATGATTGGAGTGGAATCCGATGGGAAATAAGATAGAAAGGAATTGCAAGAGTGAACGAACCTTTTCTTTCTATACACTTGAGCTTTAGGACACTTTGAGAAAAATAGGAAAGCAGAGGAAACGTAATGAGGTTCTTGTTCCAGTGCCCTTGTTGCTCATGTTTCTACTTTATGAAGCCTAATAAGGGGCAACCTAAGGTGAAGGATGCCAAAGAAGTGAAGGGAGCAAAGGAAGAAAAGGCAGAAAAAGCAGAGTGAGAGTGGAATCCCATTTGGCCTTTTACTTTTCTGCAGCTCAAGTTATAGTAATTGTCTGTAGAGCGTCTTGGCTGAGTTTATATGAATTTCTGGCTTGTTATCCTTCATGTAGGGCAAATCACTGATAATAAGATTGTTGTTTTGTCATGTTTTCTCTGTTTGATTAATTACTAGCAGATCTGCTTGCTTTGCTTACACACATTCCCGGAGAATTAATGCTAAATGCTTGCAATCTCTTGACTTCAATTTCATTCTCCAGAAGATTTACTCGTCCTCTTGCTGTCAATTTGAGGTCATAATGTGTGACATTTTCTTTGTAAA